GCATTGAGTATACATACGCACTGAGAGTCCAGCAGGACCACAGTTCGCCGTGACACAGTCCTATCACCGTCAGTCGTTGTCCATGCAACTCTAACTCTTGCTTACTGTCACACATGACTTGAACTCCGGCAGTCTGTCTCCAGTGCTCGCGCTCGCTTGTCCGCCGAAAATCAACACGAATAGCAGCGTCTGCAGGACGCAGTATCTCTGAACATCATAATGGAGCATGACGCATGACTGTGTTGAGAAGGACGATGCGATCGGGTCGTTGGTGTCGACTCGCAGAACAGGAAGTGGTGGGAGGAATTTTGTCAAGTCGTGAGGTTGTAGTGCCTTCGCGGAGTCGAGAAAAGAACTGTTTGTCGGCAAAGTAAGGTACATCTCATCATCGTCGCGACATTGTTGTGCTCAAGGAGGCGCGCATCGTCAGAAGTTCGCATGTGAGCCTTTCGATTAATAGAAAGGATGCCCCGTTCTTTAGCGACCTCGAAAGCGCAAGGTCGATTTTCTCTTAAGCAATTTCATTCGCTACATGCAAACATTAATCAATGTTTAGTGTTATGCTTCTCACCAACCAGTCTGCATCATGCAGCGGCGATCATCACAGCGTACTCCGAGAAAGAAGTACACGACAGATGCCTTCGCGTCGATTCCAGAGCTGCGTGATGGTTCGGAGGAGCCAGATAGGACGAGTCCTCAAGATGATGCGAGCTCGGATGACTTTGTTGTCGACACTGAGCCTAAGCAGCCCGGTGACGAATCCAGCGAGAGCGAACCCACTGGCGATGAGGAGAATGTCGACGTAGAGGATGGTGATGCCTCCGATTATGATGATGATGCCAAAGATGACGACGATGAAGCTATCACAGCGAGTAAACACGTTCGAACACGGAAAGCTGTCGATGACTCGACCATCTGGACCAGAGGTCTGCCCGATGGTCAACGATACCACCTACAGGCTGGGAGAGGAGCAAAACGACAGATGTACTGGGGAGGTGCCCGAGAAGATCTCGCCGTCGTCCAGAAAGTTGTCAAAAAATGGATTGATCTACCCGTGCTTCCAAGTCAAGAAGCAGGTTTCCACAGACCTTTTCTGAAGGACAGCAAGACTTACGAAGCGCTGAACGACCAGGACTGGAGCTGGTGCTGTGATGCGGCAGAGATCATGAGGAGGCAGGTCATCACTCCCGGACAGTTTGATGAAGTTAAGCACTTGCTGCCTACCACACCACGAGCGTTCTTGATTGGCGCTGTAGCGAATCCAAAGCAATGCATGCTCTCTGCTGGAGAGTGCATGTCGTTGCAAGAAGTATTCACTGACTCCAGGAATGGGTTTGTAATCAACACTGGGGAGAGAATCCAGTGTCTGGACTGGATTCCTGATCAGCCTGGACCTCACCAGTACCTGGCGGTAGCCACAACGACAAAGCGACCGGATGTCGTGCCTTGTGAGGACCCAGATCCTCCAGCATTCACACCCTCCAAGTCATATCAGTCACTGCTTCAAATCTGGCGGCTCAACGTCGTGGATCGCTCGAGCACACCACGTCTAAAAGCGATACTGAGCAGCAACTTTGGTGGCCTCAAGAAGTTCCAATTCTGCCCATATCAAGCTCGAAGAGACAACGCCAGTCCGCTGCTATTGTGTGGTCTGTGGTCAGATGGTGGCTTGCGAGTGATCGCGCTTCCTGACATATCGAATGGCGACGAGACCGATGTGCATTACATTACGCAGACACTTGTGGAGACGAAAGCACTCGACACGATCTACACCTGCTTCACATGGATGAGTCCTCGCAAGATAGCAGTTGGCTGTGCGAATGGCTGCATAGCAGTCTTCGACCTGAGCACCGCAACTCCCGACTGCAACAACCTGAAGCCGATGAAATACGCCGCAATCTCATCCACCTACATATTGGCCATTGCTTCTTGTTCACCATCATGCCCGAACATGCTGCTGTCAAGCTCTATGGATGGCTTTCTACGCATCACCGATACAGCACAAACAAGATGGTCGTCTCCATCTGCAACTGTGCATGGTCCGCGAGCGAGGACTGTCTTGACTAATTGTGTCTGGCATGACTACATTCGTTCTGCGATCCTGACTGACGAGAGCTTCGGTGTGAGATTACACCTCGCCCGACGTATCTTCAATCTCTTCACCATTGGACGGACGAGAAGCACACCTACCGTGCTCGCACTCAGCCCATGTCACCCATTCCTGTTGGTCGCGACGATAGCAGGCGAAGTACACAGCATGAACCCGATCACCAAGCTGATTGACTCGAAGGCACCAGTCTGGCAGCAAGCGTGGTTTACGCATGAGTGGCGGCGAGGTCAAGGCGAGACAGGCGATGCTCTGAGTGAGCACATCGCCAAGGTAGGTCTGTCGAGATTCTGCGAGGGATACAAGCCCGAGAAGATGTCACTGTCGAAGACGGGCACCACAGACGGCATAAGCAATGGTTTCTTGACCAATACAGTCTACGAGAAGCAGACCGCCGTGTCAGCACTGGTCTGGAATCCTAACCTACACGTCGGTGGCTGGGCTGCTGCAGGTATGGCAGACGGTCTGCTAAGGGTTGAGGATCTTGCTCTGCCTAGTAATGAATGATGACGCACTAAGGCGAGACGGCCGTTGCAGCGTTCAGATAATGGTCCGTAGCACTGTGCGGTGGGCATTCTAGCGTACAACATCATGAAAAGCACAATTAGAAAGGCTATGTCAAAGGGTTGTGTTGTGTTAGGAGCACTGCTTGACCATGTGTTGTGTGCTAGAGGACCTCGTTGTACAAGCGTGCGATCTCCTTGCGATCTCGATGCCTGTGTCTGCCATCCAGATCGGGCGAAGCTGGCAAGGGGATGTTTGTTGACATAGGACGTTACAGCAAGGCGTCAAGGCTTTGCACCGTGGTTATAGACAACTAGCAAGGCCAACAGCGAACTGAGGACAGACTGTTTGCAAAGCAGACTTCACGCCTATATCGACCTTATACAACAATGTGTTTGCAGTTGGCTCTACCAACGTCTGCGAAATCGGCTTCTGTGTGGTCGCTGCGGCTGAAACACGTGCAAAGGGTCTCTGCGCTTTCGTAAGCCTATTCTTGGCCCTCCCTTTCGACCCTTGATTCGCAGACAGCTGGCATTTAATACCGTCTTACCCCCCGCTCTGTAATCTCACACTCCAGAATTCAGAACACTTGTCCTTTCCCCATTAGCTCACAGTCACCAGCGATAGAGTCGCTGCCTACACACACTTGCCGTCGTGATCAGCTGGTCTGCTCATCATGGACTCTTCTTCCCTCGTTGCTTCTCACTTTTATCCTTCGTTTTCTTTCATGGACAATATGGACACGCCTCAGCCACAGTACCTCAAGCTGGAGGATTTACAGAGTGCATCCTCCCCGGCATCCTCCTATGACAACACACCAGCCTCTATCACAATACACTCACGACCCGCCAAGAAGAGAAAGTCGTGGGGACAAGAGCTGCCAGAGCCAAAGACCACTCTGCCTCCTCGGAAACGAGCCAAGACCGATGATGAAAAGGAGCAACGCCGCATCGAGCGGATAAAGCGAAATAGAGCAGCAGCACACAACTCGAGAGAACGCAAGCGACAAGAAACGGAGAACCTCGCCGTCCTTCTCGCTCGAGCTCGCGCAGAGATTGATGCGTACCGAAGGCTACACGGCCCGCTACCAGCTGATGTCGTCCTCCCTGAAGTGACACTCAGCAAAGATCCGTATGTCAACTCGTCGATGAACCACACAGCTCAATCTAACATCAACAGCGAATCACCACCACGATCAGATGGACTACCATCACCAGCACAGACACTAATCGACTCGATGCCAATTAAATCAGAACCATCAGACACCATAATGCCACTCTCCCTCTTCGAAGATACCGACTCCAAACTCGCAATCCCGTCGCTCGACACGACACAACATTCTGCAGCAATGTTGTGCGACCTGCAGTGTCTGTCGAGCCGCACCGGGGTTGCGAGGACAAGCCAGACCCACGTCTGGAACAGGTCTTCTTCGAAATCCCAAATTTCACAAGCCACCAAGTCGTGGACAAATCTCTTCCTCTATCTTATCCATCTCCAGCTTCAGACGGTCTACAAACAGACTCTCTTGGCCCTATGGATGAGCTCGCCTACTCGAATGCAGGCTTTGATCACTCGTTCATCGACGAATCGTTCGGCAACGACTTCTTTTTCGACGACTACATCAACACCGACGCTGTTGCAGCTTTCGCGATCGACCCAGCTTCTGGCGCAGCCTAGAGCAGCGACGAGCAGGGCATTGCAAAAGGGCGCTTTATCAGCGCTTGCACGGCGGTCGACGTTGAATCCGTCGACAAGACGGTCTGCCAACCACGATAGCGAGCAGGAAACTCACGACTCACAACATGATGGGATAGAAAAAAACGGTTCTGAAAGGTAGAGCATGTTCTCACCTGATTATGTACAATCACGAATTGAAAAAGCACTCAGTGCTGGTTTTGTCTATATGGACCTTGTGCTCTATGCCGTGAGTTTGTCTCTAGCCTCCTGTGACGCACGACTGAGCTGAATTGTTTGTGTGCTGATCCACCGGAATGAAGCGGTCTGACACCTTGCAGCGCTCTAGCTCCCAACAAAGTGCTCGACTCCCTTTCGTCTCACATCAGCACCGGTCTTCGGCGTTTGATCAAGCAGCTGTGCTGTTGGCATGCACGTTTCTGTGCCTCGCTGGTATGGGATGTGGTTGTGACAGTACACTACTCGCAGAACTCACAGAGTGCTGCGTTGTCATCCGTGGCTAGCCTTTGAGTTCGACAGTCTCTCACACTGGAGTCGAACCCGCCCTGGTCTCCTCCAACATGCCCTGGACTGTGCTGCGTTCCTCGCTGGCCGATGGTGCGAGTCAGAGGAGCAGTAGTAGCCGTCTGATCTCGATACAGAGGATGAGCAGAGAGATTCAGTACAGTAAATTTTATGCTCCGACTCATTCCGTGGGGATTTGGTCTAGGGGTATGATGTTCCTTTCGCATTCTCTGTGCATAGGAAAGGTCGGGCGTTCGAATCGCCCATTCTCCAGTGTTTTTGTTTTTGCGTTGATCATAGGTCGACCGCGACGAGAGTTGAGCTCTTGGGGAGCGAAACCAACCTTTTGGACGAGCTGTAGGCTTCGTTGAGGACTTGAAAGCCAGCTCGTGCGTAGCCGTAGGCCCGCGACAAGGTGTGAGCACCAGGAACTTGGCAATATCGTTTTGTAACTGATGATGGACTGTCAGATTTTGAAGATCCGAAGTTGGCATAGATACGTTGAGAACAACGCTCGGTAGAGGACGAAGCATTGTGTTGCTTCATAGTCCAATGATATTCGAAGGTCGTCGTGTCTCATGCTGAACGGCCGGTCTGGTTGATCGATCAAATTAGTTGATGTTAAGCAAGCCTGTGTTGCCCATACCCAGACTCCAGCTACACAATGTGCAGTCTCGAGACAATCTGTCTCAATGGAGACCGAGTATGAGAACGAAGACGGGACGATGACAGTGCTGAGCGTTGCAAAACAAGCACATCCGATAAGACAGCTTTATGATGGGGAGAGACTCTGCGGGATGTGAGGACTGTCAAGTAGATCTGGTCTCTGGTCTGATCTTCCTTGGCGAGACAACGTCCGGTCAAGTGAGCACAGTATGTACTCAGTTGTAACTCGATCATGTATCGACAAGACCCTGGCACAGCGACCATACAATGGCTAGATGAAGGTGCACAATCGCCGTGTGCCCAAGGCTTTCCGAGGTGATGCTTTACAGGTCCGGAGGTATGTGTTGATAACTTGACCGACTAGAAGTATTGAGCACAATACCTTAGTCGGTCGACCCTCATCGTGTCGAGCTCGCCTGGTAGCCTTTACCGTACCACGATTCGAGCGTTGTCGGGACAGAACATATATGCCTGAAGCGCTACCACCTTACGCCTCTTGGAGTGTCCCTTATGCCCAGAAAGAGAGCAGGAGATTCCGAACTGTGACTGCTTGCTGAACACTTGCCAGATCCGCTCGACAGGCTTGCACAGAGAGATAACGGCAAGCTGGGAGGAGACATGACTTTTTGAAGCCTGACGTGGTATATCGCACGCCAGCCTGCTTGAGCGTAAGATATGAGCAGTGTTGATCGTACATACCCTGTTCACCTTGATGGAGGTGAAGTTGCCTACAGGTCGCCGCAGATATATGCGGTAATCGATGCGAGGAAATGACCTTCACCACTGCCAGTCATCGCTAGGATCGCCTTGACGTTGCACCAGGACTTCACAAGATCTGGAGAGAGTATCATGGCCAGCTCAACATAGCATGACCTTGAAAGCTCACGATCAGCTGCGTTCGTCGCTGCTCTGGCCAATGTGGTGTAAACAGAGCTGCGTCAAGGTTGATGGAGACTCATGGTGGTGGCATACTCGCAGAGCGGACTGACATTGATGGGTGACACCCATCCCTGTGATGCCTGAGTTGTTACAGGCAGACCGCGTGTAAGGCCCGTTGGAAACCCTCCCAGGATAGCCAGTTTGTGAGTGCTGATGTACGTGTAGCTGTGAGAATGTCGATCGGAAGTGACGACGTCACGGCTGCATGTTATTTATCACTTCACAATAGAGATTCAATCTACATTCACAGCTTAACATGTCCTTCACCCTCTCACAACGATCGATATGTACGCGCTGTCTACATTCGACACAACGACATCGCAAAGTACGTCAGCTGTCGACGCAGTCAATCCCACCATCTCCGCCACCACCACCGCCAGCTACAGGTGCAGCAAAGCTCTCAAATCGACGACTCGTCTCGCTCCATGGGCCTGACGCACCCAAATTCTTGCAAGGCATCATCACTAATAGTGTCAGCGTCGATCGCACTGCAGGCAATGGCTTCTTCGCAGCGTTTCTCACTGCTCAAGGCAAAGTCTTGAACGATGTCTTTATATATCCTACAATAGGATCGAGGTGGCAAAAGGACCATCATGACGATGGTGACCAGGGCTTCCTAGTCGAAGTAGACTCGGAGCAGGCAGAACTGCTTTTCAAGCACCTCAAACGGCACAAGTTACGATCGAAATTCAAGTTGCGACAGCTTGAGGTAGAAGAGCTAGATGTGTGGTCAGTCTGGAGAGAGGACGATCGCTGGACACAGCACACTCACGCAAGATCGAACAACGAGATACTGTCTTTGCAAGACTGTCGCGCGCCTGGAATGGGTCAGCGTCTGCTCTTGCCGCCGACAACATCCTCACCAGAACTGGATGGTGTGCAGGAAGCACCGCTTGCGGCGTACACGATCAGGAGATACCTCAGGGGCATTGCCGAAGGGCAGAGTGAGATACCTCGCGAAGAGAGCTTGCCGATGAACTACAACTTTGACCTCATGGGTGGTATTGACTTCAAGAAGGGCTGTTACATTGGACAAGAGCTTACGATTCGCACGCATCACACAGGCGTGGTGAGACGTCGTGTCCTGCCGGTGTCGTTATACGATGCCGCAAGTCAGCCACCAACAGAGCCGATCTATGACCCACAATCTACCGCTCATGCAGCCGAAGGCAATACGGACATCAAGAAGGCCAGCTCGAAGAAGAGAGCAACAGGGAAACTCATCGCAAGCGTTGGCAACGTCGGTCTAGCTCTTTGTCGTCTCGAGCAGATGAGCGATCTTGTGGTAACAAGCGAGGGCAACTCATTCGATCCAGCTGAGAAGTTTGTCGTCGAGGCTCAAGACGGACAAGTGACGGGCATACAACCGTTCGTGCCAGACTGGGTCAGGGGACGAATACGAGAACCGCGAGTACAGCGACGTGTGGAATGATCGAGATTGGTCAGTTTGTGCACTACATACTCAGGACGACAGCTCGACGACGATCCCTACGGTGGCCGGCAGGTCTCCAGACCTTTGCCAATGACGGACGGACGAGGCCACAGCTTCAGTGTGCCTTGCCATAGTGTCTCACTAAAATAGTCGGGCCAAGATGGTTGCGGCAATGAAGCTTGACCACGCATAGCCACGAGCGTGATAACGTCAAATCACTTCCCAGTCTGTCAGCAGTCCGGTCAACAGGCGCCACAGATTCCGGCACTGAGATCGCATCGATAACTCCAACAGATTCTTGATCGGAGTCCTCCACTGCTTTGACGACGTCCTCGACGAACGAGCCAAGCCTGCGGATTGGCAGAAGTCGCAAGCGTATGTGCTTGCGAGTGCAATGACTTGAGAGGCCAGCTGGTATGTCAGAGAGCCCTCACATTTGATAAGCAGGAGCCATGAGCTGCTCCCACAAGTGAAGGGTTGTTGAGTCGCTTATTTGGTAGGCAGGATTGCACGATCCTATTGCTCGAGAAGAGGCTCTCGCATATGGCATAGTCGACGCGATCATCTAACGATGTGCCAACGTCTGAGACAGTTGACCATGATCCCAGACATCCTCATCCTTGAATTGCTTATTGTCATGCTCAGCGCACAACGCATCCTTGACAGAGCGCATGGTAGATGCAGTGACAAGCCCGACAAGACTGTAGTGTTCGAGTGTAGCTCGATTGCAACCTTTGGTAGACGCTCTTCAATGGTGCACGCTGCCACGAGGACATCACGCAGCGGCAAGACCCAGCTTGTGAGACACAGGGCCAGGTAAATCCAAGCTTCCAGATTCTCTCGCGATGGCAATCTGTGTGCCAAGGTCAACTGTACCATCTCCAGTAGTCTGTCCCTTGTCCGCAGCGAACTCATGGCTGCGAGTGATGCCAGGGGTATGGTTATAGAACTCATCAATAATTGGATGAATCAGTACGTTCTGGTTGTGTATCGTCAAGACGCTGTTTGTCGGCACTGTGACCCAATTGTCACGCTCGAATGTCAGAGGCTCACTCGCAACGAGCACGATATCGGCGCCTCGATCACGACGCTCCATCTTGTACTCGCCCTTACCGATCTTTGGCCTGCCCGTGCGGTCGTGCTCGGTGCCGCCCTGCTCAGTCCAGCTTGTGCCCGAGCTGAAGAAAAGACTCGCTGCTTCATCGGTCCTGCTGCTCACATATCTTGTGCAGACTACACTTTTACCGTCTGTGACGGCGAAGTTGAGCAGGCTTCGGGTGTCGCTCTGCCGCTTGACGCTGTCTCCTAGGCTTGCGATGAAGCCGTTGATCCTCTCAATCGTCTTCAGCATGGCCTTACGCAGGATCGTATGCCCAAAACCTTCTCTCTGCTTGACTTCATCGTCTGCGTCGACACCCAGCTGCTCCAAAGAATCGAGAAATAGCGCAAAGGCGCACTCGCTGTCTGTGCTGCCTCCGACGCTTTCAAACCAGCGGTCTGCGATCGAGGAGACAAGTCTTCGGTGAACTCCCAACTTCCAAGCACCAATACCTCCATTGTGCATCCACATCAGTGCGCCTCTTGCAAAAGGGTGACAGTTGCTGTCGCTAAGAGCGCCCTCTGTACTGGCTCGCACATGTGCGAAGATCAGAGGACTGACAGTCTTGCTAGCCAGGCGCTCGAGGTTACGACAGTTCCATGCTGGAATGGTAGATGTGAAGATACATGGTTCCGGACCAAGGTCGATCGATGGTGCATTTGTATCTGCTAGCACTGGTCCTGTTGGTTCATGATTTGCCGTGCGTCTCGCTGCTGATGTGGTTGCTGTCGTGTAATAGCCTACACCGAAGCCGTCGCCGTTGTGAGGTCGGGTTGTATCGAGTCGTAGTCTCGAGTCGTAACTCTGCGTGAGGATGCTATGTGTCGGAGATGTGATAAGATGAGATAGTAGGATAGGCGACTGGCCTGAGTAGATGAGAAATCGACACATCGTGGTGAAGTAGGTGAGAATCTCTTCGTAGTACAGACCTGTGTACTGGCAAAACGCTGTCAGTACCGTGAGGGAAGTTGGCAATCACATCACCCTTGTCCCGCGACTGTTGCGTCTCATCCCACTCTGCACGATTGGGTCAAGGCGGTCACTGCTGCAGGTGGAAAGACGGTGAGTTTGAAGACGGTACCTGCGTTAAGGCTGAACCGATGTGGCATGTCAAATGCAGGGATCGGTGAAGTATAA